CTCGAGGCCTGGAGTTCACTACCCCTGTTCTGTTCTGTCCTGATTGAATGCACCTAGTCTTGCTGGTCCCTAATAATGCAAGCCTGTAACTTTGCATCACTTTAGCAATTTGGTAAGCCCTTCCAGTTTGATACATGGTTTGGACTTTCCATGTATTTTAATCCTGGTTGGAGGAAGGATTTTTGGTCCTGTAGTTTCCAAAAACTCCTAACTTTTACTGAATGGCGTTCTTTGGCCTTGGGTTGAAGGTCGTTTTTCCAAATTCAAGCTTCCTTGATGTTCTCTTGTCAATATTTTTGGGTTTTATGGGATAGGGTTGCCAGCCAACCCTCCACCTTTCTCATCCAGGCTTGGGAACCAGCATGGGGGAGTTGAAAGTGAGGAAGCAGTGGGGAAAAAATCTACAAGAAAAACATTTTTCTCAAGCTGTGTCAGTTGTTTCAGCTCAATTGAACACAGTATTATGGCATTATTGTATAGGGTTGTTACCTTACAATACAAATAGACTTGAATTGAATTGAATTGAAAAAGGTTGGTGTTCTATTAAAAAAACAAACAAACAAACTAATCCAAACATAAAAATAAAGATTTTAGGTGTCCCACTTGTGGAATACCTCCAATCTACTAACTGTAAAACAGAAAAACATAGAATTGAATTATAAAGATAATTCCTATCGATGGGACTGCTGTTAACGATCAGCTGTCTAGGTATGGACCAGTAACCAATCCCAATATCAGATGCTCTGTTATACGGGATATTTCACATTTCTTTAATCTTTAGTGAACATACATTCTTGACTTGTCAGTTTGTTCCTGTGATTTGTCGTCTTCTAAACACATTTAAATAGTTTTCTTACATCTGTATCGTTCATTGCTTTCTAAGTGTGCCAGTTGAGACGTTAGCTGTTGTTTTTTCCCCTTTACTTTTAAGTTCTTTTAGCTTAGATGTTGGATAATATCTATCTGATATTCTCCTCGGCAGCTGCTCCTGTCAGATCAGTCACTCCGCTTTCTTCTCCACCTTGCTTAGAAGCATTTAGTCGTCCATTATATGTATATATGCTCACCGTTCACTGCTCAGTTTTCTCTTCTTTGAGGCATTCATTTCTTTTGTAGCCGATGTGATATCGACTGCATGGAGTAATGGTGATATCTGTTATTGTTATAGCTGTTGGCCCAATGACAACTACATCTATTGGAACCTCGTACCAGGCAGGCGTCATTTCACATCAACAGATTAAGCAGCAAAATGATATCACTTACAGACGTATAGGTCAAATGAAAGTGTTTTAGTGGCCGGATCTTTCCAATAGCTGTGATCCTGATTTGCTCAAGCCTGCTCAGTTGATGAATGTGTGGCACAGTGGTGTAAAGGTCGCAGTGAGGCTGGAAGGTTGTAATCACAGACTGTGTGGCAAAGATGGACACTATGCTGCCGTTTTGCTGGTGTCAGAAGTCCATATTTTGAAGACTTGTCGTTAGGGTTAGGGTTACCTGTCCCCATCTTCGTTTTCAAGAACCAGAAGGGACCACATTTTTTTTCCCCATATATTTTTATTGAAATTTTTTATAGTACAATACAAACAAATGTTGAACACCCTCACATTCACACATCCATCCATACATCAAACCTGCCTACATCACATTCAAATGTAGAAATGAGCATAGTTCTCACAGTAATACAAAAATACAATGGGTTAGGATAGACAAGATTTTCCCTTCCTTCCCTTCTTCTTTTTCATAAATGTCCTTCACCTCCACTCCCTAAAATATCCATATATGGCTTCCACATATTCACAAAGTCCCATTGTTTGCCCTTGGCAATATATGTTAGTCTTTCCAGGCCTAGAGAGACTGCAATTTCCTTCTTCCAGAGTCCCATGGAGGGAGCATCCATACTCTTCCAACATAGCGCAATGGCTAGAAGGAACCACATTTGGATGATAGGGGGTCTTATTGAGTGTTAGTGTGTGCAGCACAGGCTTTATGGCCATATGTTTTGTCATATATTTCACCATCAACACCACAAACACTTTTTTCCTAACAGGTTGTAAACATGTTTTTTAATAGGCCATTTGTACATGTGAGTACAGTAAATGGGGAGTGACTCACTTTTGGTGCCTGCCTCAAATGGCCGCTCCAGGAAGTGCAGCTTCCACACTGGCGTCATGTTTTCACCCCTGGAAAACATGCTCTGGAGCTTGATGCCAGACATCTGTCTTCCTGTATTACTGCTCAACAAAAGGCCCACATGTGCATCCAGTCTGAAAAATCCTTAACTGTGGAAAACGCTGGGATGCAATTGATTCGCATGTTTTTTTGTGCTGCTCATCTTCGATGATTCAGAATGACACAGACCTGTAACAAAGTATCTTGCGGTAAAGACTGGTTTCGAATTGAAAATCTTTTTTTTCCTTTTTTTTGAATTGCAGCATCATTTGCCTCTCTCATTTAGATTAGAAATAAGTAGGAGATGAAAAAGAAGTGCAGGGGAAGATGAGTTTCCCACTGACAGTCTGCCACGGAGTGGCCTGTGCAGTCTCCCTCAGTCTCACTGCCTCCTGGGAGTTGAGGAAAACATTCTGCTGATGACATGAATCTTGGATGAGTGTGCATCTGTGTGTGAGATAGTGTTGCATGCATACAGAGAAGTACAGTATTCTGGGAGAACCTGTTCATTTAAATCTGCGTCTGTGAGTATGATAGCGTGCGTGCGCCAGTGGCATTCCAAAATTACACACACACATTCCCATGAATCTCTTGTGTGTGGCTCTGTTGACACGCTGAACCGTCCTCTCCCCAGTCCACCCCCATTCACTCTTTCTCTGCTTCATCAATCACTTAAGCTTTCCCACTGCTCATGGCAGAGCTGGACCAATTAAACCCTCTAATTGAGCCAATTAGCAATTAAACACTCAGATGCACCACAAAATTCTGGCGGTCCCTGCAGGCATACTCGTGTCTGCCAGGGGCTTGGTCTTTTACCAGGAATTCTGACGTACATGTGCCACGAGGTGCAAGTTTTGGGCAAAGGGGAGTCCAGTTGTCCCCCTTCCTGGGCTCATCAC